GTACAGTGGGCAAGTGTGGCCTGAAGCTAAGCACAATGCACGTGCTTGTGTGTGTGTGTTCATGTGCATTTGCATGTCTGAGTATCTGTGAGTGTCCGCTATCCACACGTGTGTGTGTGTGTACGTATGGCCACCCATGCTGACAGCTTAGAATAAATAGACAGTCCTCAGGCCACCAAGACACATCTGCTGCTCAAAGGTTATGCTCTGGGGCCACCTTCTCAGGCAGAGGCAGGACCTTGTGCCCCTCTGGGTTGGGGTGAGGTGGGAGGGGTCTAAGTACATTCACAGGATCCCAGCTGGTCAGGAGTTCTGGTTGCCCAGGGCTCACTGCAGGATTAAGAGAATTCCGGGGGCAGCCACACGTGCATGTGTATTGCTGGGTCCTCACGTAGCAGCACAAATCTTCGTGTGTTCTGCCCAAACACACGTTGTGGGCAGACATTCAGAGACAAGTTCCCACTTGAGGGGAAACAGGTGGAAAGAATCATATGGTGCACAGTCCCACGCTGACGCACTTAATAATTGTTAACTTTTCTGGAGGCTCCACTGTTCTAAATGCTTCCATAGTTTGATTAATTTCATGCTCACCACAGCCCCAAGAAACGGGCACCACTAGTAGTATCCCCATCGTACAGACAAAGAAACTGAGCCCAAAGTGGTGAAGCAACTTCTCCAAAGTCACACAGCTGGCCACCTCCCCAAAGCCAGGCAGGTTCCAGCCTCCCTGAGCTGGGTGGTGTCACTGGATCTGGCCAGGACCCAGCATTTGGCAGGTCAACATGTGTCCCTTAGGGACAAAACAGCCTGTCCTGGAGTGGGGACACAGAAGGTCATTATGGGCCAATCTCTAGTGGTACTGGACTTGATCGAGTCTTTATGTCAGAAGCTCTGAGCTAGCTACCAGGAGTCTGGAGGTAAGAAAAACAGACACTCTCCCACGCCTGTGGAGTCTGCAGCCCACCAGAAGGCAAATAACGACAGGCTGAAATATGTCATTGCAAACAGGTGCAGGTGCAGGAAGAGTAGGAGGGCAGAGCTAGTAGAAGGGCTATCCTGGGGGCCTGTCTGGAGGACTTCCTGGAGGAGGAGGCATCTGAGATGAGAACAAAAAGCTGAGTAGGCATTAGCTGGGGGAAAGGTAGGGAAGAGTATTCTAGCCAGAGGAATCCACATTCACAAGGTGGAAGGGTAGATAGCCAGGTGTGTGAGCCACAGCTGGGCGCAGGGGGTGTGGGCACTGCCCACGCGTGGGGGTGCTTGCTGCAAATGAATTGTGTGCATGACTCTGAATGCCTCTGGGTGTGCTTGTCCACACACAAGGGTGGGAGTATACTGCTGGGGTTCCCAGGCCCACACACTGGGGACCACAGACACAGAGCAGGCAATACAAGGTCAAACTTTGATATTAATACACACTACAATGTGCATGAACCTCCAAAACAGTCTGCAAGTGACAGATGCCAGACACAAAAGGCCACATAGCGTGTGACTCCATTAATAAAAAATGTCCAGAAGAGGCAAATCCATGGAGACAGAAAGTGGATCAGTGGTTGTCAGGGACTGGGGGACAGGGAGTGACTGCTGATGGGGAGAGGGTTTCTTTAGGGAGTGATGAGAATGTTCTGGAATTCGATCGAGGTAATGGTTGCACAACTTTGTGACCACTGAGTTGAACACCTTACAACCGTGTATTTTATGGTATTGGATTATATCTCAGTAAAATATATTATATACGTATTTATATATTACATATAATATATATGTGTGTGTGTAACAAAACACCTCTAAGTTTGAATCGCGCTGGCTCTGGTTTGGTTCCTGGCTCTGCAGTTGTCTGGCTGTGTGATCTCGGGCAAGTCACCGCACCTCTCTGAACCCTTTCTGTAAGAGGCAGATGATAGTAATACCTACCTTGCAGAGCTGTCGCAAGGATTAACAGAGACACTGGGGTGAGGGGCTCGCCCAGTGCTGTTACTGCGTTGCTCCTCCCCAACATCTCCCCCATGTTGGCTATCACACCCCCTCCCCCTCAGTGCAGAGAGAGTGTTTGGGAAACAACTAGAAGCCTATAAACTGTTGAGGCACAGAGGTAGGGAGCACACCTGTATTTACACATCTGTCCCCATGCATGTGTTGGCGTGTGTGTGTACACGTGTGAACATATGTTTATTTGGACAAACATGTTCTTATGGGAGGCTGTGTCTCTTTGACAGATATGGGAAATGAGCTCAGAGAGGTTAAGGGACTTGCCCAGGGAGATCAGCTGAAGCCGAGAGTACCGGGTGGACGTGAGCAAGTGGCAGCATGCGAAGTGTTTGGGGAGGCATGTGCGTGTCCTTGGGTGTGCATATACTGTGTGGAGGGGGCGTGTGTGTCTCAGCCCGTGGGTGTAGGTGCGGCCAGTGGCACGCATGGGCAGCTAGGGCTGAGCGCACACCCTGGTCACATGTGTCCGGCTGGGGCAGCGTGTCTGCTTGCAACCTTCAGCTGACCTTGCTAAGGATCTCCCACTCCTAGTCCAAGGAACACACAAGGATCTTGGCACCCAGTCCGGAGGGTGGGAGCCCAGGGCGGGACCTGCACCGATGACTGCACCTCAGTGTCCTGTCCTGTAGCAAGTCCTTCCTGACCCCGCATGAACTTGTGGCGGGGGAAGGGTGGTGCTGGGGGAGCTGCAGCCTCCTCACAGGGCCGAGGTCAACTTGAAGGGTGTTTATGCCCAGGGAGGGCTGAGTAAATATAGCTGCTCTTATACCAGCATTGGAAACTGATTCCTGTACCTCCTTGGGTTCAGTCAGGAAGACCTTAATACTTTCAACGACAGCAACAGTAATAAGAACGGGATAACTACTGTTAGAATATATGTGCCACCCTCCCGCACAGTCACACAGGTGACAGCAGAGGGGGCTGGGGGTTTGGAGCCTGAGGCAGAAGGAAGAGTCAGCAATGCTGACCCTGTCTGGACTGACAGTTTTGAAATTTCGCTCACCACGGGTTTCTGGGTTTTGGCAGCTGGCGGGTAGGAGGGGTGGCATCTCAGCCCTTGACCTCAGTGTTACAAGGCAGCGCTCTAACCGACTGAGCTGACCACCAGCCCCCTCACCGCGGATTTTTTTTTTTTTTTTTTGCATTTATTCAAGTTTTAAAGAGATTGCTTGCAGCTGGCAGTTTAGCTCAGTTGCACTAAGGTCAAGGGTTCAGATCCCAGTCCCAGCCAGCCGCCAAAATAAATACATATATAAAAAATTTTTTTTAATTAAAATATTGCTTGAACATATTCTTCATATTGCCAAAGGAGTTTTTAATTCTGCACGGAAGGCATGCCTCTCTTGCCTCCTGGGAGTCCCAGCTCTGCTAATGCACAAGGTGGCAGTGAGAGGATTAAAGATTCTGGAACTGCATGGCACATAACAGTGTTGACAGTAGTATTAATACTAATAACGGCTGCTCTGTTTTATACTTTATGTTGGAAGCATAATCGAGAGAATATGTATTTCATTTAATCTCAACCATCCGTGAGGTAGGTAGCATTATTATCCCCATTTTTCAGAGGGGGAGACTGAGGCACAGAAAGGACAAGGTCCTGGCTGAGGGTCCCACCACTGGGGCCCCACTCATGCCCTGTTTCTCCCTGGGACCCAGGAGTCTGGGGTCTTGCAGGCACCGGACAAGGGACCAAGGGGTGAGAGGGTCAGAGGTCACTGGGCCCTTGAAGATGGGCAGGTCAGGATGGGGGTGGAGCCCCGTGGGACAAGAAGAGCTCCTGGTCCCCCCAGTCCTTCCCCACCGAGCACTCCGTTTGGTCCCCGACTCCCCCGACCTCGGTCCTCCCCTGCACCCCTTGGGGTTCTGGTCTCTTCACCCCCATCGTGCCCTCCCGCACCCCCGGGTTTCCCTTCGGGGCCCCCGCCTCTCCACTGCGGTTCTTCCCTCCTCCCAGTCCCGGGGAGGGATCCCTGGGCCTCCCCCCACCTCTCCCGCTGGGACTTCCTCCTCCCTCTTTCTCTCCCCTCCCCCCCTCCCCCGGCGGGGGCTTCCCCCAGCCCCGTGACTCCCAGGGGGCCGCCGGGGTTTTCCTCGCGCGCCCACGTGGGGCTTCGTGGAAAGGTCGCGGCCTGCGGCAGGGCCCCCTCCCCCGGAGTCCCCAGGTCCGGGCTGCGGCACAGAGAGAGACCAGGCGCCGGGCCAGGGCGCGCCCACCCCGCAGACCCGGGCGGGAAGACTGAGGCCGGGCAGGGCTGGGCTGGGCTGGGCCGCGCTCCCAGCCCGGGGCAGGGGGAGTCACCGCGTCTGCCACTTCGGGAGAACACGGAGGTGGCCGGCCAGGGCTCACAGTTTCGGTTTAGAGGCAAAACGTGCCAAGCCCAGCTGGGCTCGGAGGCCCACTTCCTGGGGTATTTTTCTGCTTGTGGATCTTAGTTTGGGGAAAGAAAAAACTTTGTTTTCCTTAGTGCAGATCCTTAGAGGCCTGGGAGGCGGGGGCGTGCTCCTGGGGGTATCCCCAAAGGAGCTCTCGCTGCAAGGCCTGAACATGTCAGAGACAGCGCCGAGCCCACCTCACTGTGTGGTCCCAGGTGCCCCCCTCGACCTCCCTGGACCTTGAGCTGCGGCGGCGACTGGACGGTCCTGGGCTGTACCTCGCTACCCCCACCCCGGCTGCGTCTGTAAGTGCCCCGAGCTTGGCGTTGGCTCCAGCACAGCCGGTAACAGCGGTGGCACGGTGGCCAGGTTTCGTCATAAACCGGTCTTTTAATTGCTACAGGGCAGGAGAAGAAGAGGAAAAAAAAAAAAAAAAGAAAGAAAGAAAAGGCAAAGATTTGTCGGGGCTGGGTGGTGGCGCCTGCTGCACAGAGAGGAAGCTCTGTTCCTGCAGAGGAGCCTGGAGCCGCCAACCGGGCTTAAGCAACACTTCCCGGTGCGCCGGGGCTGCTGCGGGAGCCCGCGTGTGACCGGGCCAGAGGTCCCCGTGCTTCTCAGAAGCGGAAATACACGAGAAACCAGAGGCTTCAGAATTTTATTACAAGGCCGTTACAGTAGAAATAAAAATATATGTATCTTGTAAGCTTTCCATCTCTCAGTGGTTCCAGAAACAAGTGCAAGTAACAAAATAGACTGTAGCATTTGCAAACTGGGAGTGCGTGGGGACAGAGCCACATCAGCCCCGACTCCCGAGTCCCGAAGGGTAGTCCTGTCGAGGGTGCAGACCCTCAGTCAACCACGTCCCACTTGCAGAAGTCCACTCCAGTCCCGGAGGTGGCGATGCCACGAGCCTAAGCCCGCCCCGCAGCGTAGGGTCCAGACCCTCTATGCCCGGGGAGGCCGCTCCCCGCTCCAGCTTCTGCTCTGTCGCAAGGCCTGAGTTCCAGGGTACCCTCTCCTGCTGGCCTGGGTCCCCCTCTTCTCCTCTCGGTGCCTGCCGCTGGCGCTGCTCCTGGCTCACGCCCTGGGGGTGGCCACACACGTCCCCTCTCCTCTCCTCAACCTCCAGTGATTCCGCCCCCGGTGGTCTCGTGGTTTTTGGTTGTTTTGGAGGGTTGTTCTAGGGGGAGGGGGGTCAAATATTTATTTTTATTTTTTTGGCAGCAACTCCACAGGTTCTGATGCTGGGAAGGGCCTCAGCGTTCCTGGAGGGAGATGTAGGGGACCCACTGGTTGTTCCCTCGGCTTTCTTCGCAGTAACTGGCGACCTCCACCAATCCGTGGCTCTTCCAGGCGTCGGTGTGAGGGTTCTGCGGCGACGGAAAAAGGAGTTGAATGGGAGCCCCAGGGCTGGGCGGGGAGCCTCCCTCTCCTGGGGCCCCTTTGGGGAAAACAGGCAGACTCAAAACAGCTCCCTGGGTGACGAGGCTCTGGCCGAGCAGCCCACGGGACATGCCAAGCATGTCTGGACGCTGAGCTGCTGCAGGACAGGCTGGCCGGACTTTGTTGACAAACACTGGCCCAGGTGTCTGGGTGCGGCGGGGCAGGGCAGCGGCCTGGCTTACCGTGACCAGGAGGCAGTGTAGGTCTCGGGCCTCGGTGGTGCCCTGGGTCTCGGCCGGCTCTCCCAGCAGCTGTGCCAGGCGCTGCATGCCCGACACCCGCACGATGTTTATGTCGTTGTCGCAGCAAAAGGACTGGATGAGTGTGAAGTGGATTTGCAGGGCAATGTCGTCCTCCTCCTCCTCGTCGATGGCCAGGAGGCACAGGACCACGCTGTCAGGGTCCCTGAGGGGGCCAAAAAGAGAGGGTGGGTCAACTTGGGACTGGAGAAGGGACACTCTGCACGGGGAGTTTGCAGAAAAGGAGGATGCAAGAGCAAACAGAAACCGCACGGGTGCAGAGGATGGCGCCTGCAAGCTGACGGAGGTGGGGAGGAGACGGAGGTCACACGGCTCAAAGTGATGTCGGGGGACACAGGGCCCCATGGGGCTCAGCACTTGCAAACCATGCAGCTAGAAAACGTGCAGCCCTCTTCTCCCCGCAAAAGCAAGAGACCCTGAGTCCACAGCGGGGGCCCCTTAGGGAAGTCCCAGCCCTGTGCAGGAGAAAAGGTGCACGGAGCGTGCACAGCACCGCGGGAACGTCCCCACCCGCGCCCAGCCCGGGACAGGGTCTGACTCACACATTCATCAGCTTGGCCGACTCGTACACCCCCACCGTGAGGCGGTCCTGGCGCTGCGCGGCCACCAGCAGCTCCTCCACGGCGGCAGTCACCATCTGCATCCTGAGACCACGGGACAGGAGAGTCAGCGCCAGGGGGGCCACCGGGCGGGCACTATGTTCCCCTCCCGGCCCGGCCCGGCCGACCTCAGGCGGCGGGGGACCGCGGCTACTTACCTCTGTGCCGCGTTGTCGCACGCCACGAGCTCTTCCAGCGTCATGTTGCAGTTATAATCCACAGTGGACGCAGTGCCACGACAGTCCCCAGGGAGAAATCGCAAAATCCGAGCTCGAGAGCCCAAAATCGTCCCCCAGCGCCGGAGGGTCCAAGACCTTCGGGAGGCAGCGAAATCCCAAAAACAACAGGCGGAGAAAAAGCTGGCAAAGTCCTCAGCGAAAACAATTCACGCAGCCCCGGAGCCGACGCGCGCGTCCTCAGCCTCGGCGATCTGGAGCCCGCGACCGCCGGCGCCGCCTTTTATAGACTCGCCGGTCAGGGGCGTGGCCTCGGCGAGACCGTCCGCCCTTCCTATTGGCGTAAAAACAAAGGCCGGGGCATCGAGCGCTGCGGTTGGGCGGCCGCGGCGAGGGGGCGAAGCGCCGGGCGGGGGCGCCCCACGTGGGGGCGAGAGCTGGGACCAGGGCGCGGGGGGCGGGCCGCGAGTACCAGAAAACAAAAAAAAAAGCAGAAGTTTTCCTGCTGATTTCCCGGCAGCCGCGCCGCGGTTCGGGGCGCGCGCGGGATTTCCAGCGCGCGAGGCGGCCCCGACTCTCGGGGGGGTGGGGGGGGATCGGCTGGAATCCCCTCCCAGTCCCTGGAGAGTCCCCGGCCCGCATCTTTCCCAGGCTCTGCTGGGGGCTGCACGGAGAAGGGACCCGGTTTGCAAGCGGAACCCTCCCAGGTGGGGGGTCTCTCCTGGCTGCGGGGACCCCAGGCCCCCCGAGTGACTTAGCTCCTCTGGGCCTCTGTGTTCGCATCTGATTAATGGAATGCACCGCGGGCCTGGTTGGGTTGGGGGGTCGCAGTCAAAGCAAGGGGCGCTTAGCGCTCCGTAAGGGTCAAGCAGGTCACCTCGAGGCCCCCCGAAGCGAGAGCTGCAGAGCAGCCTCGGTGTCCCCCACTTGTCCTCATGAGCCTGGAAGCAGCATTCACTCAGAGGGATATACAGTAAGCGCCCAGTAAATGTCAGCTGGTGGTCGCAGTAGGCCCCCCGAAAGCAGGGGCTGCAAAACTCGAGGCTCCCAGGAGTAGAAGCCGGGCCGCCCCTTCCCTGCCCCCCGCGAGTTTCAGGGTGGGGTGCGCGTGGGAGGCACAGGTGGCCTGGCCCGGCGGGCTCGGGGCTAAGCGGCCGGGGCGCCCCCTGCCGGCTGCCTCGCACCTGACCGCGGGGGGAAACCGAGGCCCGGGAGAAAGCAAGGGGGGCAGTGACTCCGGCCTGCACTCCACGCTACGCCTCGGACCCACGGGCACTGGTGACGGCCACTCAATCCCTCCGTGCAGGGTGGGCGCCGACATCTATTGAGCGCCTAGTGTGTACCCCGCGCCCCCTCTCTATTGCGCACCATTTAATCAAGGAGCTGGAAAGCAGACGCTGTGCTCGTCTGCATGATGCAAAAAGGACAACTGAGGCCTGAGGAGGCCTGGTCGTGGGTGTCGCAGCCACAGGTGCGCGCCAGGCCAGGCCGCACGCAGCGACAGCCGCCAGCTCCTCTGCCGCCCGGGGAAGGCGGTTCACGACCGAGGCGCGCGTGGGACTGTCTCCCACGGTCGGTCGGGGGCTCCCGGGTGACTCACATCTGTGTCCCCTCCCCCGCCAGCCTGGGGCCTGGCCTCGGCCCCGCGGCTCGGCTCCCCCGGCTCCCGGCCTGCGGGTCCGGCTGACGCATCTCACCACCTCCGCGTCGCCCACCGCGGGGGACGCGAAATGTCCCCGGGTTTGCAGGGCGCGGCGGCGCCACCTCGTGACCGTGCCGGGTCACTGCGCCCGCAGCGCCGGAAGGGACGAGCCCGCGGGGACAGAGAGGGGAGGGTGACCAGGGCGGGGACTGGGGTGACAGCTGCAATATTTTATACACACGATATTTTACACGTGCCACATCTATTTCATAGATGCAATATTTTTTAAAAAGTCAAATTGAACAAATCAGCACCGTGCTCTAACCAACCCACTAGCTCGATTTCAACCATTGGTGACTATAAAGTTCAGTGGCATGAAACGCGTTCACACCGTTGTGTGACCATCATGACTATCTATACCCCAGACTTTATCCTCCCTAACATAAACTCTACCCATTAAACAATAGCGCCAGTCCCCTGTCCCCACAGCTCCTGGTGACCTCTAATCCGCTTTCTGTCCCTGTGGATTTGCCAGTTTTGGACATTTCATGTAAGTGGGGTCACACACTACGAGAATTTTTGTGTCTGGCATCTGTCACTGAGTGTGATGTGTTCAAGGTTTCTCCACGTGGTAGCGCGTGTCAATTCCTTCCTATAGCTGGATAATATTCCATTTTGTGGGTGGACCACATTGTGTTTATGCAGTCACCTTTTCTGGACGCTTGGGTCGCTTTTGTCTATTGTGGGCATATGTTCTTGTAAATAAAGTTTTACTGGAAGGAGGGCTGGGGATCAGGGTGAGGCACTCACCTTAGGCACAAAATTGAAGGAAAGAAAAAGCTTGGTCATCAAGGTGAACAATATTTTTATGCAATATTCTTAAAAAATCAAAATGTGTTGGGCCGGCCCGGTGGCGCACTGGATAGTGCGCCGTTTGGGAAGCGCGGCGGCGCTCCCGCCCAAGGGTTCGGATCCCACATACAGACCGGTTCCCGCTCACTGGCTGAGCGAGGCGCGGGGGCAACGCCGAGGGTTGCAATCCCGTTGCCGGTCCCCAGTCCGGTACGGGGGCAACACTGAGGGTTGCGATCCGTTGCCGGACACGGAAAAAGACAAAAAGACAAAAAAAAAAAAAAAAAAAAAAAAAAATCAAAATGTATGTGAACAAAATCTCTGTGATGAACAGAATATCAGGATTTTAAATACAGACAGGATCTGACGGAGCCAGTTGCTGGGGGAAATCAGTGGTGGTCACGTGCAGATCAGATCCTGTCTTTATTTTCAATTTTGATATTTTGTTCATCATGGATACTTGTGAGTTGTTTTTGATTTTTTTTTTTAAATATTACATTTCAGGCGGGCCTGGTGGCGCACTGGAGAGTGCGCCACTGGGGAGCGTGGTGGCGCTCCCGCCGAGGGTTCAGATCCCATGTGGAGACCGGTTCCCGCTCACTAGCTGAGCATGGTGTGGACGCAACACCAAGGGTTGCGATCCCGTTGCCGGTCAGTAAAAAAGACAAAAAGGAAAAATAAATAAATAAATATTACATTTCAATATTATTTATCTTCATGACTGAGTCTTTTGGCACCCTCTTAGATTTTTTTGTTTGTTTGTTTTTCTTTTTTATTCTTTTTGTGTGTGTGTGTGTCTTTTTTTTTTTTTTTTGAGAGCGGCCGCACCGTGCTCAGCCAGTGAGCGCATTGTGCCGGTCATCCCTATATCGGATCCGAACCCGAGGCGGGAGCGGGTGCGCCGCGGGCTCGGCCCTCTTTTTTATTCTTTTTTATTTTTTCGTGAGATCTATGCTGGTCAGTCACTTAAATTTTGCACCCCAGTACCAGGACTCAGATTGCCTCTTTCTGCCCCAAGGAAACGTGACCCTGTCCCCTGGGAACCCACAGCCCATCCCATGCCAAAAGGTGTGAGTCAGGATTTTCTGAACCAGGAAAATGGGTGCGTCCCTACCCAGCTCCCAGTTGAGATCCCTTGTCTCTAGAATAGATACACTGAACCACTTTTGAAAAGTACTTAGGCATGGCATCGAAGATAATAATACTCGCAAGCATTTATTGAGGGCTTACATGATGTCGCACTTGTGTGATTGTTCGTTCAGAGGAAGGAATGATGATGTTGCAAGCTCAAGGGCACACAGCTCGGAGTTCCCTGAGGATATTCCAGAATGCTCCAGATGTGCCAAGATACCTGCGGTCAGGGCTGGGGAGGAGGGACGCACGGGGTGTTTGGGGTCTAGAGAGAGAAGGCTGGGCGGTGGGGTGGGCCAGGGCGGTCCCCTTGGGAGGAGACAAAGCCATGTTGGCGTTGAAGGATCAGGAGGAGATTCCTGGTCAAGACCGGAGATGGCATCCCAGGCAGAGGAAAGAGCCTGGACAAAGGCCCGGCCTCTCAGAGGATTGTTATGTCTGCTGTGGAGGATACACGGGAGGAAGGGCTCGGGCACAGATTTTTTGAGCCCTCTTTAGCAGGGCAGCGATCAAGGCACCGGATTCAGGCACAAAATTCAAGGGGGTGCTGGAAAAACTCAGTTGTCAAGATAAATCATATTTTCCTCTCTCATGTTTTATTGAGATGTAATTCACATACCATAAAACTCACCTTTCAAAAGTGTCTGATGCAGTGTCTGATTTTAGTACAGTCACGAGTTTGTACAACCATCACCCCTAATTTAGAACGAGATAAATAATATTTTATTGCAATAATTTAAAATGAAATAAATGCCAAAAAAAATCCATGATGAAGTAAATATGAACGTTTTTCATCCAGACAGGACGGATAACAATGCCACACTGAGCTGTTCCTGCAGCCTGAGCCAAAAGGAGAAAGCGTATGAGCAATGCTGCCTTGATTTAAAAATTTCAAAACATATCCAATATGGAATGTTTTTGGTTTTTGTGGTGTGGTGTTTTTTTTTTTTTAATTCATTTAAATTTTAAATTTTTAAATTTATTTTTATTTTTTTATTTTTGGCAGTTGGCCAGTACTGGGATCCAAACGCTGGACCTTGGTGTTATCAGCATCCCACTCTAACCAAGTCAGCTAACCGGCCAGCCCCATTTTAAAAATTGTATTGAAATATTATTTATCTTCATGACTGAGTTTTGCGGCACCACCTTAATGTTTTGTTCCAGAAGTGAGTGTCTTGCTCCCTTAATTCTTAGAACCCTCATTCTGGCATCCCTGCTCCCTGCAAACCCGGGAGGCAGGGGGATTGTTCCCATGGGAACAGTGAGGAAACCAAGTCTCCAGAAGGTTGGGAAGTTGGCCTGCCCGGAAGAGTTGGGTCCAGGGTTCCCTCCCAGCATGGTGGTAGAATGCAGCAGAATTAGGAGCCACAGCGGTGGGGAGCGATGTTTGAGAGAGGCGGGAGCAGGGACGGGGGACCCTGACATTATAGGAGGTGCCAGAGAAACCCTAACCCATAATGGGATGTATTTGAAGGTGGGGTCTCTGGGAGGTGATTAGGTTTAGATGAAGACATAAGGCTGGGGCCCCTATGATGGGATTGGTGCCCTTGTTAGAAGAGGAAGCAACCAGAGCTCATTTGCTCCTCACCATGTGAAGACACAGCAAGAAGGCTGCTGTCCATAAGCCAGGAAGAGAGTCCTCACCAGGGGCCAAACCGGTCCCCACCTTGATCTTGGACTTCCAGCCTCCAGAAAATAAATTCCTGTTGTTTAAGCCTCCCAGTCTATAGAATTCTGTTACAGCAGCCAGGACAGACTAACACAGGATGGGGTGAGGAGCTGGGATGAGAAGGATGAGGGGCAGACAGAGCCCCCAAAATGATGTGTGGGAGGGATGGGCGTGGCCAAGGAGGCTTCCAACTACCCGGCTTTGAATCCCAGGTCCCCTCCTGGCCAGCTGTGTAAGCTTTGGCATGCCATCTTCTCTCTGTGTGCCTCAGTTTCCCCCTCTGCAAAATGGAAATAACAACACCGTCTGGGATTATTCTGAGCGTGAAATGAGTTCATCACCATCCCCACTTAGAAAAGAGCTCTGTGTGTAGTAACTGCCCTGACACTGTGGGCTGTTATCTAACTTTCCTGTATTGATCGAGGTACTACCAGGTGCTGATCTGGTACTGGTGGGGGGCAGTACACAGCTACTTCAGAGGGGGTGGTTCGGTGGGCTTCTCTGAGGAGGTGGCATTTGAGCTGAGATATAAATGGCATGAAAAAGCCAGGCTTGAGCAGCTCTGAGGGAAAAGCATCTCAGGCGGCAGGCTCAGCACATGCAAAGGTCCTGAGGCGGGACCTCGCCTGGCATATCTGAGGAACCCCAAGGAAGCCCAGGTGGCTGCAGCAGAGTGAGCGAGGGGTGAGCAGAGAGGATGAGATCAGAGAGGTGGGTCTTGGGGGCTGTGGAGGGGCGTCTGGATTGGACTCCGGTGTGGCCAGCAAGCCACTGGCAAGTCTGAAGCAAGGGAAAGGCTGGGCTCTGACATCATGTTTTTCTTGCAGAGATGAACAAGACGTGATTCCTGTCCCCAAGGAGAGGTTTCCGGGTGGAGGTGAGTCATCAGCTGAACTTCCAGACGTTTGTAAGACAGGAACCAGCCGGGAGGAGGTGGGAACGACATGCCAGGTGGCAGGGATGGAAGGAGAGGAGGCAAGGAGGCCGGAAGATGAGGCATATTTGGGAAATGCTGGGGGCAATGGCAGCATGGGGGGTGGGGACGTGGCGTGCGGAGGGAGGCTGGATGGCGGGGACTGGGTCTTGCCGTGGGAGGTGGCTCTGCTCTGAGCAAGAACCAGCAAGTCCGCCCGGTTCCTATCCCACCTCCACCACTCATGAGCTGTGTGTCCTTGAGTTGGTGACTTCACCTCTCTGAAACTCCCTCTTTTCTTAGGAAAATCGCACTGGAAAAGATCACACAAAACGATGACCGAGACTGTGCTCGGCATGTAGAAAGTGCTCCGTATACCTTCCCTGCTCTTGTCACCTCGAAAGCCACTTGAAGCCACCCCCTTCCCTCCCCAGATGCCCATACCCCCGCTCAGCTGGTTCCCCCCGCGGCGCCCAGCCATTTCCAAAACCTAATTCGTACCATGTCCCTTCTCTGCTCACCCTTCAAAGACAAAACACCACTGGAAAACCCTTCCCGATCTTTGGATGTACCAGCCACGTTCCCACCGCCAAGCTTTGGCTTTCTCTGGTTCCGGTCTCAGGAACCCCTTCCCCCCCCCATGCCCTCACATCCGTGTCCTTCCTCCCCTACTCCCACCAGTCACCCCCCATTCCCAGCTTTGTGGGTTTTTTTCCTTCTTAGCCCTTAACACCATCTAACATTCTGTACAGTTTACTATTCGACCTAATTATTATCTGCCTCTGGCTAGAAAGTCGGCTCCACCAGGGCAGGGATTTTCATCCGTTCTGCCCACTGCCGTGCCCCTAGCACAGAGCAGATGCCCAACTGGACTTGTCGAATGACTGAATGAGTCCCCGAGAACACGTTGAGGGTGTGAGCATTATGTTAAAGGATACACTTAAGGGCTGGCCGGTCAGCTCAGTTAATTAGAATATGGTGCTGATAACACTGAGGTCCAGGGTTTGGTCCCTGTACTGGCCGGCTGCCAAAAAAAAGGTGGGGGGAGATACTAAAAAGTAAATAAAACGGCAGAAGCATGACTCTCACATGAGTAAATGATGAATGTGTCTCGAAGACTGTATTTAACTCATTAAGTAATGAGGGCACCAGTAAGATGTTACACTGGTTCAAAGATTTCAAAGAAGCACACGTTTTATAGGCCATCAGGATGCCAGAATAAATCTGCTTGGTCAATGGAGAATTATAGAGGGAAATATTCTGGTCTCCAGGAGATAATCTGTATTTCTATAGATGCATAGGGATTAAGCAACTGTACGGTTACGGGGCGCAGTCCCCAGAAGACGGCCCTCACTTCAGATACCACATGCAAGTTTGGGGTCAGACCAGCTGGCTACAAATTCAGGGGTCCCCACGACCACCCTAAGGCTTGATAATTCACTAGAGCAACTCATCATACAGGAAAGTGCTCCACTTATGATTACAGCTTTTTTAGGGCAAAAAGATACAAATTAAAATCAGCCAAAGGGGCTGGCCTGTTAGCTCAGCTGGTTATTGCGTGATGCTGATAACACCAAGGTCCAGGTTTTGATCCCTGTACCAGCCAGCTGCCAACAAAACAAAACAAAAGAAACTCAGATAAAATCAGCCAAGGGAAGAGAGGCAAAAAAAGTGCAGAGTCCAGAAGAGGTCCAGAGGCAGAATTCCTGGTCATTGTTTCCTTGTGGAGCCCTGGAATGACGTGTGACAATAAGCACAAAGTAGTCTCAAGCAGGAAGCTCACTCGAGCCTTTCGTGTCTAGTGTTTTTATTTGGTTTGTCTTTTTCTGGTGTTTTTATTTGAGTTTGGTCACACACTGCCTGCATGACCTTCAGTCTCCAGCCCTCCTGGAAGTCAGCACCAACACGGCACGGCTCAAAGCCCCATCAGACATCACAGTGTTTGACTAGATTGTCCAGAAGCCAGAGTCTCCAGGCAAACAAAGATATACCCATTGACAGGACATTCCAGAGACCTAGAGGTCACCTCCTCATAGCTGAGGACGAAGACCAGACCTCTCTCTCTGGGTGAGGCCAAATTTCTTACTATTGCAATGGAGAAGAAACATTTGTCCTGCTCTGTTACAACAGCTTACACACTCGTACTGTAGCTCAAAGACCATGAAGCAGGCTGGGACTCCCTAGAATCAGATAACACAGACCACACTCATGTGTCAAGCAGTTTCTAGTATGGCTGCAACGGTCTCTATGATGGTTAAGTTTATATGTCAACTTGGCTGGGCCTCATGGTGCCCAGATATTCAGTCAACATTATCCGGGGCGCCTCTGTGAGGGTGTTTTTATTTTTTTTATTTTTATTATTTATTTATTTATTTATTAAATTTTTTTTTTTTGTCCTTTTTGAGACCGGCCGCACCACGCTCAGCCAGTGAGCGCACCAGCCATCCCTATATAGGGTCCAAACCCGCAGCGGGAGCGCCGCTGCGCGCCCAGCGCCGCACTCTCCCGAGTGAGCCACGGGCTCGGCCCGTGAGGGTGTTTTTAGAAGAGATGAACCTTTGAATCCATAGACTGAGTAAAGCAGATGGATCTCCCCAATGTGGGAAGGCTTCATCCGATCCGTCGAGGGCCTGAAGTGAACACAAAGTGAAGGAAGAGTTGGGAGGGTCTTCGAGCTGGGACATTGGTCTTTACCTCTCCTCACACCTACACCTGGGTCTGCTGGGTCTCAGGCCTTCAGTCTCAGACAGGAGCTTACAGCGTCTGCTCCCAAGAGTCTCCAGTGTGCCAACTACAGACCTTGGGACTTGTCAGCTTCCATAATGGTCTGAGCCAATTTTTTTTTTCCTTTGGTAGCTGGCTGGTACAGGGATCCAAATCTGGACCTTGGTGTTATAGGCCATGGTCTAACCAACTGACCACGCTCTAACCAACCAGCCAGTCCCCTAATTCTTTGTAATAAATCATTCTCTCTCTCTTTATACACAAGGATACTTCAAAAAGATCGTGGAAAGATGCATATTGTCTTTTAATTCTATTTTTACACCAACTTTTTGAAGTACCCTTGTACAGATCCTGTTGGTTCAGTTTCTCTGGAGAACCTGACTAACCCTGACTAACCCCCACTCCCCTGCTGTTCATGCTTTTGCATACCCCCCATCCCCCACCCTTAAGTATGGGTGGGACCTAGTGACTCACTTCTAACAAATACAGTGTGGTAAAAGTGATGGATCTCACCTCCGAGAATAGGTTATAAAAAGAGCGTGCCTCCTGTCTGGCTGACACTTTTGCCCCAATACCTGCAAGAAATGGAAGGCAGCCTCTGCCAACAACTAGTAAGAACCTGAGGCCTCAGTCCAACAACCCACAAAGACGCGGATCCCATCTACATCCACACAAACGGATTCCTTCCTCGCTGAGCCTTCAGATGAGGCTGCAACCTTGTCCTGCAGCTTGATGGTTGCATAGCAGGAACCTTTGCTGCAGGGCTCCCAGCTACGTTGTGCCGGGATTCCTGACTCACAGACACTGTGAAATTATAAATGCATGCCGTTTTAAACTCCTGCATGTGGGGGATAACTTGGTACACAGCAATAGCTAACTAATGTAACTAGTTTTCCATCAAAACACAGTAGGTAAATTTTGGTCCCTTTCAATGTCGTTCAGTTTTTCTCTATAGTTGATTCAGCAACAGTGTATGAGTCTCCTGGAGCTGCTATAACAAAATATCCCCCAAACCGGGGGGCTTAAAATGACAGAAATGCATTGTCTCACAGTTCTTGAAGCCAGAAATCTGTAGTCAAGGTGCTGGCAGGGCTGTTTCCTTCTGGAGGTTCTGAGGGAGAATGTGTTCTGTGCCTCTCTCTGGTGGTTGTGAGCAATATTTGGTACGTAGATGCATCATTGCAATCTCTGCTCCCCTCTTTACCTGGCCATCTCCCTGTGTCTGTATCTGTGTCTTCACATGGCATTCTCCTCTCTGTGTCCAAATTTCCCTCCTCTTCTAAAGACCTCAACCATTAGATCAGGGCCCAGGAGAAGCACATTGTATGTATTCTCCCACAGTTTGCTTTCTTTACACAATGTTATGTGTGGGAGGTCATTTGTGGATGAATGACTCTTCTCCAAGAGTCCCACCCTGTTTAAAAATGCAAACCCTTTCCCTGCATGCTCCCAAGCCCCTTTACCCGGCTTTATTTTTCCTCCATGCTTACCGTCTTCTAACACAACACATACTGTACGTATTTATAATGTGTATTAGACTCTTCTCTGTCTCCCCAGGGCCTACCATGCAGCAGGTGCCCAGTCACTAGCTGTTGATGCCACGCCTCCATTCAGTCACTTAGCAAACAGCTGCCAGCCCCAGCGCTCTGCCCGCCTCCCCGATTTCAGTTGGGATTACAGGACTGGAGCCCCAGGTTCCTTAATTCTGATACTAGACTCCAGGTTTAGCCTCCAGGCTCTGGAATCTGGCTTCCGGAATGTGTTCCCTAATCCAGGGTCCAGAATCCAGCCCCCCCCAAACTCAGACTCTGTAATTCAAGATCCAGGTTTCAGAATCCAGGTCCCCCAAGATCCAGGCTCTGGAATCCAGCCCCCCAAGATGAAGAAGACTCTAGAACTCAGAATCCAGGCTCCAGAATGTGGAGAATCCCAAGATTCAGGCTCCGGAATTCAGGATCCAGCCTCCGGAATTTGGTCTCCCAGAGATTCAGCCTCTGGAATCCGGTCTCCCCGAGATCCAGGCTCCGGAATTCAGGATCCAGGCTCGAAGTCCGGGCCGGGAGCCAGCAGCGGCCGTTGGGCTGAGATTTTTAAACATCTGGCGCCAAAATCCAGCCCAGAGCCGGGAGGGCGGCGCAGCGGGCGGGGACAGGCGGGACTGCAGGGGCTTCCCGGGCTGGACAGCCCCGGGTCTGGGATTTAGGACCCCCACCCCGGAAAGCAGACAGCAATGGACCTTTAACTTTCTCAGGCCCTGGAGTCAGAGAGTCCCGCGTTCGAATCCCACCTCTGCTGGGGCAGGGGGGGTCCCCAGACTGGCCCCCTCCGCGTGCCTCAGTTTCCCGTCCTGGAAATGGACCCGGAGCCCCCCGCCGCGTGTCGTGCCTGGGCAGCCCGCGGAGGCGACAGGCCAGCTTGGTCGGGTGCCCCGGACTTCGGGCTCCGGGAGTGGCCGCCGGCGAGCTCCGGAGGAGGGGACACCCCCGCCGCTGCTGTCGCCGCCCCTCCCGCTCAGCGCCAAAATTTAAAAATTGCCCAACGCCTCCCAAACTGCGCGCGGGGAGGCGGGAGCTCCGGGCCCCACCCACGGGAAGCGCTGGGCTTTCTGGGACTTGGAGTCCAGCCCCCGGGGGTCCGCGGGGGCGGCTCCCGACGTCCCCGAGCCCCCGCCCAGCGCGGAGAGGGGAGGGCGGGGACTGGGTTCGAGAGCCCATTTTGCAGAGGGCAAGACTGAGGCCCAGGCGGTGGTCAGCGAGAGCTTTGATGGGGAGGGGGGTGCAGCTGAGTCTGGGGGTGGGAGGTAGGTGACCCCATGCCACCCTCAAAGTTCTGCCCTGCCTCCTATCACATTATTTATTTCGCTTTAAATTCCCTCACATTTTACCAACTGACTGTATTTTATGTTCCTGCCATTAGTAGGGGACGAGAACAGTCTCAGATCCTTAATACAAGGTAACTTTTGAGAAGAGGATACAGCCCCCGTCTAGCCAGGCACTCTTGCCTGCCTGGGTTTTAAGGCTGGGGCCCATCTAGTAAGAAGGGAGTGTTAGTGAGTGAGTGTTAGGCACTTGAGACCGGTGGGTACCCAGGGGGGACGTACCCCGGTGTCCTCAGAAGGCTGGAAAGGGAACCAGGTGACATGTGGCAATGTCTGGAGACATAGTGGTTGTCATGACTAGGGGTGGGGAATCCTCCCGGTATCAAGTGGGTGGAGACGAGGCATCCTGCTCAACACCCCGCAATCGACAGGACCCCTTCCACCAACCCCCCACAACAGAGAAGGATCTGCCCCAAATGCCCCATAGTGCAGAGTCGAAGAAAGCCTGCTCCGTGGATTTGCCATGTCAAATAAAATTTGTGGGAGGCCATTGTTTGGACTGAGCACTTGCAGTAGGGCCCAGCAGACCAGACCAAACCACAATGGAGTCACTCTTGCTAAATGCAACGTAATCAAACTAAAGTTTAAAACGGGCCAGTTTTCCAAAAACCAGGAGATTCACAACAACCAACCCAAAAGTGAACAGGCTAGATAAGGAAGTCCCCTCTGTTTCTACCGGATAAGGAAAGTGACTTTGAACCGTTTTCAGTAACCAATCCGTTTTTTGTTCCTTTTCTGTGCTTTTTCCAGTCCTTCCCTGCCTAGAAAGCCACCCCTCTGCTCAGCCCTCTGGAGGGCCTTTCTGTTTCATAGTGGGGATCCTGCATGATTCATGAGTCGCTCATAAAAGCTGATGAGATCAGTAAACTCAATTTGTTGAAATTTTCTTTGACAGTCTCTCTGGACATTTTATGTAAGTAGCTTGGTACAATATATGGCCTTTGGTGTCTGGCTTCCTTCCCTGAGCATTTTTTAAATTTTTTGGTTTTATTTTTTGGCACCTGGCCGGTATGGGGATTGAACCCTGGATCTTGGTGTTATCGGCACCACGCTGCAACCAACAGGGCTAACCGGCCAACCCTCTGAGCATTTTTTTTTAACTTTATTTTTTAACCGACATGCAATAATTATAGATATTTGGGGATACAGAGTAATATTTCGCTCCATGCATATACTGTGTGATGATCAAGGCAGACTAATTAGAATAGCCTGAGCATTTCTTTAAATGTCATTTTTTAATTGATATGCAATAATGGTACATATTGTGGGGGTGCAGAATAACATTCCGAAACATGCATGCACTGTGTGATCAAATCAGGCCAAAGAGCACAGCCTGAGCATTCTGTTTTTTATTTCTTCGCTAGAGAATGGACGAAGAAGCGCAGCATATTTCTGAGGTTCCTCCATGAGCTTCCACTGAGGTTCCGTCCGTGCATACGCCAGGCACTAGCAAGCAACCCGCTGTCCCCAGGGGCCGGGCGGGACTACAACTTCCGGCGTGCCCCGTGCGCGCCCGCGGCCGGACTACAAGTCCCAGAGTTCCGCGCGGCGACGGTGGC